TATACCCACAAACGCTAAATATATTCAGCCACGGAGCAAACATATGGTGAAGATGTCACCATGTTGGTAGGAATGTAATGGAACATTACCTACAATATATTATTCATTGTAATATATCAATATATCTTTTCTAATATAGTAACGTACCAATTAGATAAAGATGGTTTTCATTCAAAATATAGGCTCGCAAATATAAGGTTACAAGAATCGAATCCATTCAATACTGTGCAGTGTTATATTAGTACATGCAATATATGTCTATGTGGGAATTCTTCTTTAAGAGTTTTGAGAAAACGTATAATTTAGTTATTTTTTTATTCAAGAATATGTTAGCTGTATATCCGTTTGTCATTATGGATCTGTTTAGATACATTGTTACTACATATGTTAAACATGTTGCTTTATAAGTATAAAATAGTACTAATATTAACACAAGACACAGAGCTGCGTCGGTGTCGACACATCTACCATTTAGACATTACGTGTGTTTCGTCTTTGACAGACATCTTAATTATATTATGTGTATTATGACCCTTTAATCAAGTAAGTCGGCTGCTGTTGGGCATTAAATTACCAATTTGATACCTTAAACATCAACGGCGCAACTAACATTTATCGCATTTGAAGCCAAGACAAGCACGACAGTGAATGAATGAGAAAATATCTGAAACGCTTTAAACAGTGCGGGTAAAATTTGATTCTCTTCATTTGTTAATTAAAAGCACTTGGTAACACAACCTATAGTAATTGTTTTGAAAGGTGTATATATTTGCTTCATGAATCTTATTATTTGGATAAGAAACCTTTTCAGATTCTCCCATGTTGTGCCGGGGTCATTGCGTAAGATCGTGTAAAATACATGTGATAGCTTTACCATTGCTTACATTGTGCAACACACAACAGGACGCATAAAGCCACACAGACACGAAGAGCCTTCAGAGGCTTCGTCTATTTACTGGAGAGTTTCTCTGGAATACCTTCTACAAGCATAGCGTTTCAGTCCTTTATATGGTCACAAAAATATATATTGTACCATACAGGTGCGTATGTTTTGTGTAAACACCTGTTTTCTAAGGGACATATTTAGTCTCATTTACTCAGCGATCCACCCTGGCCGGGCCTATGTTCCTGTAGAATAGATGTATTGACAACAGGCTTTTGGAAAATGATAAGCGTATTCAGGAAAATGTTCACACGGACAACTGTGTATTCTAAAAATAACTTTGATATGAAATAGCGCATTGAAGCGAGATGATCGGACAATATAGCGTTGCCACTTTAAAAGCAACTGATGTATTATAGAAATTGTATACATTTCGTCAAGTAGGCTTTGATAAGCAGTTAAGCGTCACCTGAACTAGATAGAGATATGTTCCCATCGCTGAATACACTTACATAGATACATACTTATAGCTACACTATACACATAAGGCTCTCTTAGTGTTATTTATATTTAAAAGTATGGTGACAGGTTATGTGATTAATCCGCTTTATGGCTGAAATGACAGATGCTTTTATTCTGTTATTGTTGATGTTTAAAAAGAAAAATTGACACGTAAGATGACGAAGGAAAATTTTATATTGAAACTTGAATTTTTATATCATGAACGGTCTGTGACTCATATGTGTGGGATAGGAGATGAAGATTAATTTAGATACACGAAGCTGGCAGACACAGACAAATGTGATGTATCATATAGCGTTGCCTCTTTCTAAAGTCAGATATATTAACTGCTAATGATAGAGTCAGAATCATACAATCGACTCTGCTTTTGGCAGCGATTTCTTATGAATTTGGGAAGGGTGTTGTCGCTTTTTTTAAAGGAATTACTGCCATATCACACTGTTCTACAAATTGGGTTACGAGTCTTGATTTGAATGATAATCTGAGTCCTCGGTTTCGCATCTTGATGAATGATGACAACCTCTAACTACCACATCTGGATATAGATAGTTAGCACACATATACACCCATATTAGGGTGGTTTAGATGTTACCTTTGGCTGTAACTCGTTCACGTCCGGAGCAAAGGATGTATTTCGTATTATTCCAAAAATATATACATTATCAAGTACAGGAATCGATTGAAAAAGGGAGGTTTTCATTCTACAACGCAACAATAAAAGGTGAAACAATCATATATGTTGCAGTAACGTTTATGTTATAATCCACTTGTCTGATAGTGATTTATAAACACAAGCTTATAATATAATTAGAATCGTACAATGGACTACAATAATTCTCAAGATTGTGGAAAAACTTATATCGTTTTTATTTCAATAATAATTATCTTTCATATAAAACTTTCTATCAATTTCTTACACTTTTATTACAATTATTACCTTATTTCTTTAGAATTATAACCATTTGTCTTCCTCTCTAAAACTACTTTCGATAACAGGACAAAATATGAATCATGCATGTGTGCAGTATATTAACTGGTGATGACGTGGATAAAGTCTTGGAAGGTAATGTACATATACCCAGACCGTGACAATAGGACGTGGATTTCCTACAAATAGGTACACGCTGCTTTAGGAAATATCTGCCCAGGACACGTGTCGCAATTCAATACGAGATTGAATCATATAAATAGTTGGCATAAATCCCATACAAATAAATCCTGCAATAAATGTCATTCTCGTAGTTCAACACTTAGAATAGAAAGATAGTCTGTGGATTGTTATCATCAGATGTTGTGAGATTTATAATCAGTAAATATCTTCTACAGATTTCTCACTAGCTCTCCTAATGAAGGACTTAAAGCCATCGAGTGGTCCTACAACATCACTTTCACAGATATATATGAATACCAGGTCATGGATAAGATTTGTTATATTGAACAAGAACTTTGTATGAACACGGGCAATATATAACACTCACCAACGCTGTAAAACATTGGTTAAGCGACTTACCATTTAAGCCAGCATGGAAGCAACGCGCAGCCAGAAAGTGTATATTCCTTAAACGCTTAACGATTTGCACAAGTTGAAGAATGTTATTTTAAGTGAGATCGATTAATTTCACAAGAAAACGGTCAGTCAGAAATTGACAGATTCTTTCCATTAGGATCACTCATATACCAATTGAGATGTGTTTTCTTAAAACATATAATACACTGGTTAACACTGATAGCGTCAGAAAAATAAATAATGTTCAACTTTGCTCAGTGTCCGTTTCACTTTACAAAGTGAGCCCTGCATCTGTTCGCTAGTAACAGCTCTTGTAAAAATAGCCGCCGTCCTGAACATGCTCCAATGTCATTAGACTGCGAGTACTATCACGGTAATGAATCGGTAGCATTGTGCTACGCTGATAATTGACATGACTTCTGGTATAGTATTTCTATCAACGCACAACTGAACTATATTTCATTCTGCGTATGAAAAAGTCTGGAAAAGGCTAAGATTTCCACCCGTATCGTTCACGGATTGGATGTCAGCGGTCGTGACTACAATTCGATTTATTTCACAGTGAATGCTGTTGAATTCTCCGTCAAGGAATCATACACAGTTGTTAATGAACAGCAAATAGAGGCATATTGTGCATTGTAATTTTATTTAAATTTATTCAAGAACTTTTTATATTCAATGTTTCATTATTTTACAAACACAGTGCATTGTATTCAAAGCATATAGAATAATAGAATAATATATGCTAACGAATACTTGAAATAATTTTGTTGTTCTGGCATAATAGACAATATCTGAGCATTGTACATAACAGTCCTGACGTTTTAGTTGACGCTTGAATTGCTATGACTGTAGGAAGGAGATAATATCGATGTATGAACGTTCTGTTTTGTTTATCTATAGATATCGCCAAACTAGAAGCATGACAGAAGGAGTAATTATATATGCCGACCCATCACATATCCCGCAACATCTGAATTAAATGTAAATGAATGTGTTAAGTAGGCATTTGTGTATCATCTGATTGTATGTGTCGGGCCTGGCAGTCAGTGTTCTCTTCGCATTCTGTCTCATTCTGTAGTGGAACTTCGAACCTGTGACTGAATATTATCAGTGTGACATAAGGCATTTGATACAGAATACGACGTCTCTCTAACCCCATCTGACTTAAGCTATCAATAAAGCACAAAAATATGAGTCAAGTTTGGACAGTTTTTGTACATCTATCATGATGTTTTTACAACGAACAAACAGACATCGGACAATTAATGTGACAGATATCAAAGTTGATCAAACATCAATATATCGTCTTAAAATACAGTTATACCCTCAACTACACCGACATTATATTAATATGAATTCAGTTCCTTATATATAAGCTGAAATACTTTTTTAAGTTCTTCTTACGTTAGTTAGCTTGTGTAAGTATTTCGTACTGGTCAAACAGGCATCGTTAGACTTAGTGTGTTTCAACTGATAGTTCTTTGAATTATCAAATGAAATTGTTTGAGAGATTTTTGGTATCTTGTATCTATAGAAACCATTTCAATATTTTCTTCTGAGTATCACATTTCATTTGACCATAAAGACAATCGTTTTAATGATCGTAACGTGGGTGATATCATACACACGAGTTCACCTAAGCGGTTGGTGCATAATGTTTCTCTCGCTATCACTTTGAGTTTTATAGTCCGGGCATAATGGTACTTAAGTGTCAATAAATACCATACGTCCTGCAAATCAGCACATTTTTATAGTCTAATGGTCTGATTAAGCTTTCTAAAATAATGAATAAACTCATTTCGATAAAAACAATTGCTTTGAAAATTGATTCGATTTCTTAAGCGTGGTCCTGTGTTATCCACACCTCGGAGACACAGCTAGACAATGAATGCCCGTCACACACATAAAAACGTGAAGAATACCACAGAAGACATTACGAACCTGTGGCTGTATTTTGACATCGATCGATTCCATTCAAAAGAATTGAAACAGAACGTGCCGAGCCCGCATCGGTGCAGAACCCCATCAAATAAACTCAATCTAAAGACTCCGCGAAAACTAAACAGAAACCACAAACATAAAATATGGATTTATACATCATTTAATTCATGAGCATTTTGTACACAATAAAAAGAATAAAATTATGAATACTCAAAAAGAATGAAACAAATGTGTCAATATAATTTTTCAACAATATTCATTCATATTTCCCGTGAAGCTAACGTCTTCAGACAGAGTGCTCGGCACCCTAGTCGGCAGTACTTACTATATGCAACACAGATAACAGTACATACAAGACGCTGCTCTTCATCATAGATTTCTAAAATCAAACTTTAACAATTGAGCTAGCTAGCACTAAACATATAAAAGACAACAAAATTATTATGCTGAATTTAACAACGTTTGTTATACAGACATATTGACTGGCGAATTTCAACATAATATGTAACTGTCTTTAAGGTAAAAGTCCCCGTAATTTCCTCGTGTCGATAAACAAATTCAAATTGACCCATTTAGATATATGCGATATTGTCACTACTGATTTTTATCCCCAAAAGGTTTCTCCGTTTATAGGTGTGGAAGAATGTTAGGCAATAGACACAATACCCTGCATCTTATTCACTGTTCTCGCTTTCGAACCGTGTATTTGATACTTAAACTGTCAAAGGAAAGGGTGATTAAATATCATAATTTACATCATAAATCGATAAACCTCAAAGATTACGCCACTTAGGAGTGATTTACAGGTAATATGGTGATTGCTCAAGCTAATACGCCCCGTAGGCCACTTTTACTTTAACTGAGATGTTTAAATCTACAGTAAGCCCATCTCAAGCTGAACGGGGACTCAGGTGACAAACACAACAATATAGGACCGTCTGGTTTTATTTCGAGAGCCTGTTGACTTTAAAGCCTAGCACTATATTTGTCCTTCTCGATATATTGTGTGTTACTCTAAATATATTGCACAAAACTGAGACCCCACCACGACTAAAGCCAATGTCGTTTTCCAAACCCAGTGCGACAGTTAACACACGTCCGTTTTGTTTAGCTGTTTTTTTTAAAATAAAAATATTCAAAAAGTACAATGATAATATTGATTTTGTCAACGTTTACACTCTGAATTTCATCAAGAATTTTTCCATTTTAAACAAATAATTATCATTGGTGATTCTAAATGAATAATATGGTACATGGGGTAATTTCGGTGACATGAAAATGATGCTAGGACGTTGTTAGTCGCACGAGGCTAGGCATTGCACATGGTTTACGAACCTCATGACTGAGGCGACGAAACCGCTACTATAGTCATTGAAATCCCTCATATCTGCTGCGATGAAATGTTACATTATGCATGGTGACGAAGTGGCGAATGGATCATCCAGATTGCACATTAGACAGCACATTTATCACATCAGTCCAAAATCAACAGTGTCCACCGCTAGCCAGCCGATCTAATGAAGTGTATACAAGTTCAAAATCACAAAGTCTCATCCAACACTTTCTAGAAAAAATGTTTTTGTTCTGGTTCATTAAATACTCCCCTCTCTTCGCCGTCCAAGTGGAAAATTCAGCAATTAGATTTCTCTGAGTAATGACACTATCCACATGCACCGCACTGGAGTAACGAATGTTATGGCTGTGTTAAGGGTACAGACACCCGAGCGAGTTCTGTGGTTACTTGACACACGGGTATACATGCCCTAGTTATCACCTCGGGCCGATTGAGATCATTCACATGAGCTGCTAGTAATCGTCACTTATATGACAGCTGGGTGTCGGAAATGGTCCTCCGGTTTGACTAAAAGGTACGCTACGGGTCTGTGTACGTCTTGGGACGGCATATAGGAAGGGGGGCAACATGGCACGAGGTATTGTCCTGGCAACCCGGAGTGGGAGCCCCCATGGGCGGCCGGGGGTAATCCCATGGCCGAATTGTGGGTATGGAGGTAGGGGCTGTATAGCGGGTTCCCCAGGAGCTCCGGGTGCCGTAGTCCTAGAGGGTTCCCGCTGTCCATCTTGCCCGTGGGGTCGAGATGGGAGTATAGTCCATGGGTGGAGGTAGGGGGTAGAAAAGCTCGTGCTTTTTCACTGAGGAGAGCAGCACTTGATAGAGATTCATGGTGACTTGATAGAGTTGCGAAGTTGTGAGCCATGCTGCTGAGAGCACTCGTGTTCATACCCGGTATCATCGGGATGGGGAAGGCGTATTTGTCCTTCTTCAACAGAGATTTAGGCTTCCGTCTTGGCCTGTACTTGTAATCCGGATGCTCCTTCATGTGGAGAGCTCGGAGTCTCTTGGCTTCATCAATGAAAGGCCTCTTTTCCTCTTCATTAAGTAACTTCCACTCGGCTCCAAGACGCTTGCTGATTTCCGAGTTATGCATTTTCGGGTTTTCCTGGGCCATCTTCCTCCTCTGTCCCCTTGACCACACCATGAAGGCATTCATGGGCCGTTTCACGTGGTCATTGTTTTTAGGGCCGGGAGAAAGCGACAGGCTCGGCATGTTTGATACCTCAGTGGTTGGGGAAGGCGATGGCGAGTCTTCCGATCGAGATTGAGAGCTCATTTTGAAAGTGTCGTCTGCTCACTGTGTCGTCTGCTAGTGTCAAGTCTGGTGTTTACCAGCCAGAGTCCACGTCTGACACAGAATCACAAGCACAATGTAAACGCAGTCCACGTCCAGGGGTGTACGACAGACAACTAACTGATAGACAGTTCAAAGATTACTTTTATCTAACCGGAACTATCCGCAGTCATGTCGATCACAAGCCAATCAAACGCTAATTCCTCATAATCCATTTCTCTTGTCAGTTCCCATTACTCAGGCCCGGCAACGAGCACTGACAATTGTTCAGCCCTTTAGAAATATCTCGCCGTTTCGATTGGTCGACGCATTCCACCGTACTTCAAAACCACGCCTTCCGTATACCAGCTAAGCAGAATCCCTTCGAAGAAGACACATACATTTGAAAAGAAAATTTAACTTTATTCGTAGCTACAAATAATACTCATTCCTTTCGTAAAACAGCGAGTCAGCCGGTAAATCATTGTAAAAATCGCATTTCAAGGGGCGTGGTTTTCAGTCAATCAAACCGTTAGCTCCGCCCTGTTTAAAAGCCCAACAAGCGTGGCTGGGCCTACCACGTGCTCGCTGAAACCCCCAACACAAGTTCCTAATCTGATACACCACAGCGGGTGATTTCTACAACAATGCGAGAACCATGGTCCTAACTCATAGTGTAAGTCTTTCACTTTATTGCACGACAGGCAGAATGTGTTGATTAAATCTTGCAGGGAGCGAACGCGATGACGAGGAGAGGTTCCGCGCGGCCCCGATGACAAGCCACACATGCTCAAAGCTCCCAAGGGCCGGACTTGCGTGAATGCAAACGTTTTCACAGACAAGCGCACTGAAAAGACGGCGGTGTTGCGCTCGCGCGACGTCCGTCAACTGAAGTGATTTCGCACCATTTGCACTTTTTAGACACGGGTCGTAACGACAGGGGTGTTTGGGCCCACATGCCTAACATATGGCGTGATTTAGACGTCTCAACGATAATGAGTTTCATTGATGATTTAATTCCACGTGAGCATTATAAATGCGATAAGGATATTTTTCTATAGTTAAACGGGACAAAGTCAACACGATGCTTGTTGTTAAATAGACGACAGCTATTATAATCGGCGGAAATTTTTTTGGGGGAAATAATCAATTCAAATATATTGTTTTGTACTGAGTTTCTTGCATAAGAAAATGAGTTTTATTTATTGAATGTAACATAGAATCTGTGTCGATATTTCATTTCTTCATAATCAACTTCTCAATGTAAAACAATAAAGTTTCAATTAATATTTTGGTAAACATTTCCATCAGCTAGTTCTAGTTTAAATTGCATCAAAATAGAACATCCCAATGCAATATGTTCAGGGTATAAATAAAAGAATTTAACTCACACATTTTCCAAAGCATGATATTTCTCAGTCCTCCACTTGACATTATTGGTCACACTGATAATATCCTTTTGGTAGAGATATTAAAATTTCCGTGAGTGCCGAAAAAGACAACGGTTTATGTTTTCCGACTCTAAATTATGTCTGTTGTCTAACAGACATTTAATGCTGTCTGAATGAGCGAAAGACAGATCTTAACAGGCACTTAGGATTCGTTTCGGGGTTACCACATCGAGGCGATATTCTGTCTCTACATTGCACCGGCAGTAACTGTTAACAGGATATGTCACTTAAATTTATACCGCCTTTAAATAGCCATTAAACACAATGCGTAAGAACAAAGATAGATATTTCTATGTAGTTAAAGTAGAGTGAAATTCAAATACGTGTCCCCAGTCAACATGTCTGTAGATATTCATTCACATTTTTTTATTATTTAAAATTTTTTTATATTATTATTATTATTATTATTATTATTATTATTATTATTATTATTTACAGATTAAAATTTAAAAAATGCAGCAGAGAGGGTTTGGGTCATCCTGGCACAGTCAGGCTGGTTAGGCTCATCATCAGCTCAGGGCTCTTACCCCCTCTACACGCAGCCCAGACAGCGAATGGGACTTCTCCCAGGGAGCGCTGCCTAGTCAAACCCACCCAAAACTTTTCGGAGAATGTGAAGACTCCCCAACACTGCAGCCTTCTGCATTACCCAGACTGTCAGAAGGGCTGTATTCCTAGTAGCAAACCCGGGTACTCTCCCAATGTCAGTCAACAGATTGGGAGGTACCAAACCTAAGGCACCGAGAACAATGGGGAGTCGGACAACTAGGTACTTGGGATGCAAGCGAGACATTTCGAAAGCGAGGTCTGCATATTTGCCATGTTTTCCCTCAATCTTGTGTCAAAGGGGACAGAAAATTCAATGATATAAATGATGTCATTGGATTTATCAAAAAGGACAAGATCAGGTTTGTTGGCCTGGATACGTCTGAGGCTGTAAACGGGCCTTATTCCAAAGAATTTTGTGTTTATCATTTTCCTTGACGCCCTCTACGTATTCCGGGTCGTACCATGGGTGGACCTCTGTGTCAAAACCACAAGCATGGCAAAGACGGTAATAAAATGATTGAACTACACCATCATGTTGTTTAAGTTTGTGTCAAAGCTGGGCAACCACTGACATTGTGTTGGAGTGTCATTAAATTATTATTATTATTATTATTATTATTATTATTATTATTATTATTGATGATGATGATGATGACCGTCGTTAAATTTAACATGTTAAACATGAACATGAATATTAAAATGAATCGTGTTGAATTTATGTATTATTTCACCTGTTGTATGACATATCCGCACCAGCTTTAAACATTAAATGTCGGGTAGAATTTCACGTGATTTCTAAATGTACATCCTTAGCACATCAGTATATTACGCAAGAGATAAGTATTTTGCGCACACAAACACGAAATGGAAGATATTATAGTATAGTAAAGCTTCACATTTTATTGATTATCAGAAGTGGTTTGCGTGTCATTCGCTATAAAATGATACCACGAACGTGACTGCCATCGATATCGTTATTGGCGTTAAACCCAATGTCACCACCACGATACAGAATACATTGTTTGAATAAAAATATGACTATATATTTTTTTGGGATGTTTATCCCCATACTGTCGAAAAGGATCATTTTCCTCCAAGTAATATCATACCATTCTGGCACATAATCTTCAGCAGGAGTTAATATACAAGACCAGCTGGTGATACACGAAGCTGTGCCAGTGCGTTCGTTCAGCCATACAATCATTTAATTCCATTTAATCTTTTACTAAAATTGTAAACACGGTTATAACAGCCAGTAATCACATTATTTTTGATTAAAATATGTACGTACATGTTACTGTTTTACCAATGATAACGATATATATATATATATATATATATATATATATATATATATGTTCTATTAACGTATATTACAACATGTATAACTGACCTTATATAGGTTGTACCAGCTGAATTATCGATCTTTATACAAAGGTTTTTGAAAACCTTTAATCATATTGAGGTCCACATTTGGTAAGGATTGACACAATACTTTTTTCAACTAAAATCGAACTTACTTTGACCTGTCCTGTTTTTTGTAGAAATCGATTTCGTTTTACGCCAAATTTCGTGTCATCGATTTATTTTGGACGTATATTTTCAGTGACATTGACTTTTTAAATATTCCTATTGATATCAAAAACATATGTTATAACACAGGGCTACAATTTATAATTGAATGATGACACAGAGTGTGTATGTTGTGTTTGTATAGATTTGTCGCACATCTGTCGTAACGTCCCACCCACTCCAACGGGAGACAACAGCACGACGCCGCAGCACGATTCTGTTACCTTAGGCGTAAGGAGATCAATGTATTATCATGTGCGTTCGTAACAGTCTTTGCTAACACTTTGTCAATTAAACGTGTAATTGGCGTAAATGAGTCTCACAGTAACACCTAGCGTGGCATGCTTGATAAGCTAGACTCCCTGATAGTGAAGTACAGCGAGGGGGATAACGGTAGTGGGTCCATTAAGGATTTAACACCAGTTTATTAGGTATAAACACGAGCATGTGTCGTTGATGATTTTAAAACCGGCGTTCGCATGCAGTAACAACTATCTTTGTAAGACATACCCACTATTGCTTGATAACGGGCCACACGAATGATAAGTACTAAATTATATCATTCAATTAGTTAATTCAATTAAGTTGTTCATTAGATATCAGTTCTAGTCGTCAGATATTAGTTGACTTCCTTTGTGAATTCAGAAATTCGTTTTACACCTAAAAAAAAAATATATATATATAACATTTTATTTGACATTCTACACATTTGCCAAACATAGTTTTACTTATTTCATGTTAAATATATTTTGAAGTAACTTTATTTATTGGTTTTAGGTACAGAGTATAATATGTTGTATCATGTATTATATGTTCTAGGTAGAGTATAATATGTTGTATCATGTATAATATGTTCTAGGTACAGATTATAATAGATAGATAGAGTGCATAAACGTTCCGTTCTTACATTACATTATTAACGGAGCGACACAGACGTCTCTACTTTGTAAATCGCGAATATAATATTATGAATTATAGCTAAGCCTCATAATGACAACACTGAAAAATGAATGGAACGAAAATACGCCAGGCACACAGTGAGTTTGGTAAACGCCTCCTTCAATCAGTGTCCCCGTCAATTCACATGTTGATGCGGGAGGACCACCCGAAGTGGTTCCATAGACGGTTGCCACATTGGTGAAACCTACGAAAACGGTGCCGACACACTAGGAAACAACCAGTGCGAATCTGGATCCTGGCACGCCTAAGGGACGCAACTCCGCACAACCAATTTCGGCCCGTGACAAAGGCCCACTCGCTCGACCTAGACACAAACAACCTGGATTAATCATATTTCAATCGATAAACGAGTTATATATCACATTGTGGTATTGTTATGGTTACAGCAAATTGTGATGAGCAATTATATTCATATATAACAAGTCCTTGAAATAAATAATATCACCATCAATAGCTTTAAGCATCAGTGAATTAAAATTGAAAATATATTCAAATGTTTTGCCCCACGTTGATGCCATTCTACTAAATAACACCACTTAACCATAACATGTCAATGCGTTCTACAGTGCAACCAAAGGGACAAGGTTGCAGATAGCTGATTTTCAACAAAGGCTGGTAATACAACGATTCGTGTAGTTAATTATGTTTTTTGACAA